AGGCCGTTGGGTGGGAAAGCTAAACTTTTTCTTACGATGGTGGCTGTCACTTAAGGTGGCCATCCAGATGCCGAGTAAGGACCTGACATTCCCCGTTTTGGGTTGTTATTGGACCCCTGAAGGGACGGGGCGTAGATCAATCTCCTGTAGCTTCTTCCTGCTGGAAAGGGGTGGTGTCTGGACCCTTGTAAGGGGCTGGGGTGTCATTGAGGCAATGGTGATGATCAGGAGGTGCTGGGCGATGCTGACTCAGCCCAATTTTGGAAGTCCAGTAACAGAAGCCGGTTCACTGTTTTTTAGAGAGCCTTTGAATCTGGTCTTGAATCAATCTAATGACGCAGGGGGCAAGCATCAGCAAAAGGCCTATGACAAGGAGAGGTCAGGAAAGGAAGTGCCCACTGCAGAAGGGGGTTACTCAGCTGCCATCCTGAGTTCCAATGGCAGTGGGAAGCTTTGAGGCATGAAGGAGATCGGAGATGAAGGGGGCATTAGTAACTGAGGTTCCCTCGGTGGTAAGGAATCTGCACTCCTTCCAAATAGCAGAGTGGGAGAGAAGTACGTGGAAAGCATATTTAGAAAGAAGTATAGACATGGAGGGAGGCTCTCTTTGCCAAAGTGAAGGCTCTGATGAGGGCAACTCGTTCAGCCTGCTGATTGGATGTCTTATTGGGGAGCGGAGCCCTTTCCACAACAGAGGTTAGAGAGACTATAGCACACCCTGCCCGGGGACCTCCCTCCTGAAGGCAGGAGGAGCCATCTGTGAACCTTACACCATTTGTATGTTGCCTGGAGCAAGGGGCCTTCCTGTATGTGGGAGGGATGCGGAAGAATCTCCTCCAGAGTTTCAGTGCATGGATGGGTGAGAGGAGAAGAGGTGGAAGAGTCCCGAGGATCCGGAAGGAGAGCAGCAGGGTTTAAAGGTGAGCACGTATGAAAAGTAAGACTGGGATCTTCCACCAGGGGAACCCAGATGAGGCCAGGAGAAGAGCGCTAGGTGAATGGAAGAAGGGATGTGGTCATGTCCTGGGCCCTCAGGCCAGGATCCCAAAGCAGCTCAAATCCCTGGAGGGAAGAGCAAGTCCAAGGGGAGAACATGACGGAGTCACTGGCATCAGGGAAAGAAGAGTGGCCCAGGACTAATCACACCCCTGGGATAAGAAGCGGGTTTATTGTCAGGAGCCTGACGAGGCTGCTCTGCAAAAAGAGAGGGACGGCAACAGCAAGGAGGGAGAGCAGGTATTATGACTGGGCCAGAAATGGAAGTGGATTTTGAGATGGATGTGAATGGGCTCGCAGTGGGAGGCGATGGAAGGACTTGAAACATCCCAGACAGTAGGTCCACCTCAGAAGGGGTGAAGGGAGGCACTGACAGTCAGAATAGGGGATGGTCCTAAGGTAAGGGTGAGGACCAGGGGAGCGGCAGGCGAGTCTGGATGGAAGCGTATTTGAGGGGAGAGGAAAGCATAGCCCCCAACCTTGTGAAGATGTCCCTTCCATAAGGGGAACAGGGCCCTGTGGAATGACCAAAAGGGAGTGAGTAAAAATTAGAGACCCAAAAGCGCAAACCAGGCCAGGTGTCTGTAAGGGCTGGTAGGTTTACCCTCTACCCCGACAACAGAGGTCATAGAACGAGTGGTAGGCCCCCAGAGCCCCTTGAGGACTGAATATGTAGCCCTGGTGTCGAGGAGAAGAGCACTAGGTGAATGGAAGAAGGTGTGGAGGAGGAAGGAGACAGGAGGAAGGAGACAGGCCTAGCTGAAATACGCAGAGTTACCCCGGGTTCCCGTGGAGTGATGGTCGTGGTCGGGTGATGGGGACCTGGGCCTCCTCAGTCCTCTGCAGCCAGTCCTAAGAGTTGGAAAGAGGAACCAGAAGGGCTGGATGGCCGGGGGCTACTGTGGCTCAGGGACAGTCAATGGCCTGGTGTCCCTCCTGATGGCATTTAGGACAGGGGTCTAGAGGCTTGCGAGACTTGGGACATGTACGAGCCCAGTGACTTGTCTGACCACGTTTAAAACAGAGTTTGGGTGGCCCCCAGGGACCCTTCCGTGGGCCAGTGGAACCAAGGACCATGTTGAGGCCAGACAGATGGCTTGAATGAGGTCTTCTGTTTTGGGGCCTTCTAGTCTCTCCTGTTATACACCTTAAAGGCCACTTCCAGAACCTCAGCTTGGGGAGTTAGGGATCCCCTCTCGAGGCACCTTAGTTTGGCTTTAATATCAGGAAAACTCTGGGAGAAAAAGTAGGTCATTAGTAGTTGTCTCCCATCTGGAGTCTCAGGGTCCAGGTTGGTATTTTAGATCGTCCTTGGTCAGGGCGTCTGAAAATGCTGAAGGGTTTTCATTCTTATCTTGGATGATTTCCTGGAGCCTTTCATAATGATAGCCTTATGGGCTGCCTTTCTCAGTCCTGCCATGAGACAAGTAATGAGCTGGTTTCTACCACTTACTCTTCCAGGCAGATTATAATCCCAATGGGGGTCTCATTCAGGGACTGCTTCTGTGTCAACCGGATGGGCAGGGGAGGTTTGGTGTGCCTCATCAGCATAATTTATAGCTTGCTCCCAAACTTGCCGGTGCTCCTTAGGAAGGAGGGTGTTAGACAAGATTGTATGGACATTGTGGGGAGTCAAATCATACGACTGGGTCAGATGTATGTGATGGGACTGGAAGTATAGGACCCAAGCCACTTTTCCACCTGTGAAAGGTCTGACAAAGACAAAGGTGCATGAATCCGGATTTCACCATTGACCCCAGGCACCTCGTGTCGAGGGCAGAGATGCTGGTTGGGCAGTGGCACCCTGTGAGCGTGTAGCAGGGAGAGAAGGGTGGAGGGCCCGAGGGGACAGTTGCTGCAGTGGCTTCATCAGAAAGAGAATTGTGGTAGGTTGGGGGCTCCTTTGCTGGGTTGAAGGAGGAGGAGTCCTGGGTGGGATCTTCTGTCCCTTTGGAAGCAGGCATAGGGGAGGTGAGAGCTAAGAGGACTTGCGCGGGAAAGCAAGAGTTGCAGAGAGAGGGCTGAGACCGTAGAGAGGAGAAGGCTTGAAAGTGTGTTACCTCTTTCCATTTTCCCAAAAGCTCACAATAGCTGAAAAGATCCCTGATATTGGGATCTAGAGTGCCATTAAGTGGCCATTTAGAGTCCAAAGAATGTTGAGGCCAGATCTGATTGCATAAATGGATACATTTTGGGGGATTTAGGTCTGGAGAGAGAGAGAGAGAGAGAGACCCTAGGTTAACCAGGAGGCAGCCTAGAGAACTATGGGAGGGAATGGATGTGGTAAGATATAGGAGAGTTTAGAGGTGGGGCGTCCCCCAGTCTCTCTCTAGTATCACCCAATCCAGAGGAAGGTTACACTCAGAGGGTTGTCACCATCACTGGGTAAGCATAGAGAGAAGGGCCCTTAGAGGCCCAGCTGGGACTACGTCCATAGAGATTAACCCAAGGCCGAGAGGTCTCACCAGGAGCAACTCCCAATCACCCTTGGTGTTTTTTTTCTCAAACCCAAGACCCAAATAAAAGACCACCTATAGACCTGGTGGACAGTACGGATCAGCCGTAGCTGTGAAAGCTGTGGTGGGGGTGCCCCTGGCCATATGGTAACCCTGGGAGTGCCAGATGATCGAAGATCACTTCCCAGGGTCCGTAGGTCGTTGAGATCAACCGGGGACAGGGGACTTACCTGAAATGTCTGGTGGTGGGTGCAGAGAAGGCATTCAGCAGAATGCAGGGCCTGGTCCCAAAATGGAATTCGGGTTGTGGCCCAGGGAGGCTCCGTGACCCTCGAAGAGGGGAGCGGGCATACCAAGGAACCTGATCCTGGGTTTCGGCATCAATGAAAGGAAAGCGAGGGACCCGGAGACAGGGGAGCAAGAACTGAAAGACGGAGACCAGGCAGAGATACGCACAAGAGTTTGTCAGAGCTGACAAATAAAGGCCATCTCTCCATAGACGGAGAGAGGCAAAACAGGCTTGGGGGTCGGGACTTTTATGGGGCAGGCTCAGGGATTAGAGCCGGGAGGGTCCTAATGCAGGTGGTTAAGGGTGGGGTTGGTAGGAGGGAGTGGTGAGCCTCTTTCAGAAAGGCCCTTGAGTGGGAAAGCAAAACTTTTTCTTAAGATGGCGGCTGTCACTTAAGATGGCCGACTAGAGGCTAAGCAAGAACCTTACCGACTAACCTAATTGGTAATTTTGAGAAGGAACCCAGTTCTTTCCAGGTCCTCTTTTTCTTAGAATGGTCTGCGTTTTCAACGTGCAATCAGAATTGTCTAGCCCCATTAGGGAGGCCTATGTTCCAGAGCCTGTTTCTAACTAGGTGGATGAGCTTAATCCATGAAGTGTAATATTATTAGCAAGCTCGTTTGACCAAAGACTTCAAACTTAGTGTCTAACTGTAAAAAAATCAATAATAATGTGGATAGCTCTGTCTACATCTGCTTGATTCTCGTGCCTCATCTCAGTTGGTTCATAACATGAGAGAAGTGGATGGCTACTTACTGGCCTGTATTCATTTTTAGGGTGTCCATAATAAAGTACCACAAACAGGGTGGCTTGACACGGTAGCAATTCATTGCTTCACAGTTCTGAAGCCTCAGATTCCCCAATCTCTGTATTGGCAGGACCATACTCGTTGTGAAGCCTCTGGAGAGGACCCTTTCCTTCCTCTTCAGATTCTTTCCTTGGCTTATAGGAGCGTAATTCGCATCTCTGCCTCTATGTTCACATGGCCAGATGACTCCAGGACAACCTTATTTGAACTTAGCCAATTTCGTCTGCCATGACTCTATTCTGAGGCATTGTGGGTGGAGGATTTCAACATCTTATTTTTTTCCACTTTTTATTTATATGATAGTGGAATGCATTACAATTCAACATATCTTTTTGCAGAACGTACTTCAACCAACAACCGCCTGCCTCTAGTCCCTTCAAATTCATGTCCTCCCAGTGTGCAAATTAGATTCCCTTGATTGGAACACCTTGGAAAGTTTTAACCTCTTCCAAAATCACTTCTAAGTCCAAATTCTATCCCAAATGTCATCAGTTTGAAAAGCCCCCAATCATAATTGAAGTCAGTTAAGGCAGACACTCAGTGTAGTTCATCCTGGGGCAAAATTTCTCTCCCCCAGAGGCCTTGTGAAACCAGAAAACCACTGATTTTCTCCCAAGATACAGTGGTGGAGCAGGAATAGGGTACATTCCCAAAGGAACAAATAAGAAGGAAAAAGGGGTCATAAGCCCCGCACAGGTCCACCACCCGACAGGGTAAATTTTGTTAGATTTCAAGTCCTGAGAATCACTCTCTGTGTCCATTTTTAGGGCCTGCTGGTGAAGGCCTTTGCTCCACCAAGGTGGTGGCCCCACACTCTCAACCTGCTAGGTCTGTGGTACTCTGACATTTATGGTTGTTTCAGTTTGTACCTTATTAAAATGTAAATATTTATGACATAAGTCTTCTTTTCCCCTTTATTCCTTGATTTTTTTTCTTGCTGTGTAACTAATGTACTAATCCATTTTATATTATTTTTTTTTCTGTACCAGGGATTGAACCCCGGGGTGCTTAACCAGTAGGCCATATCCCCAAGCCCTTTTTAAATGTTTTATTAGAGACATGGTGTCACTGAGTTGCTTAGGGCCTTGCTAAGCTGCTGAGGCTCGCTTTGAACTCATGATCCTCCTGTTTCAGCTTCCTGAGTTGCTGGGATTACAGGCATGAGCCACCATGCTTGGCTATTTTTTTAAAATTATTTATTTAATTTTTTAAGATTACTTTTTAAATAGTTTTTATGCTACCTAATTTTAATATCAACTAAAAGTGTGTGTCCATTTTTATTTTCTTTGAAACAGAAGTGAATGGGTTCATGCCTCCATTATTGACTTGTATCAATAACTCCAATAAAGTAATAGGTTTCTCCCAATATTTGAATTTATTTCTCAACTTTCTATATTGTTCTTGGGGTAATTTTTCTTCTAGTGAGTAAATATTATACCACTTTTGTTATGATACTTGATGACAAGTTTTGATATCTAGTGCAACACACTCTTTTGCACTTTGCAATAATTATGTGGCTTTCTTACCAGTTTTCACACAATTATTCTTCAATCCTTAAGTATTTTAAAGTAATTTGACAGCATTACTACACAAACTTGGTTAAGATTCTAAATAGAACTGGAACACGATTATGTGTTAATTTGTAGAAACTCGAAATTTTATGATATTGTGAACTTGCAATCAATAATATAGTTTTTAAAGGCATTCAGTTCTTAATGCCCTTATTACATTTTCCAGTTCTGTTATTTTAATTATGTTATTTCATTGTTTTCCATTTCAATGTCTAAGTGGTTATTGATAGTATAAAGATACTTTATTGATTTTTGTGGGTTTTTCTTTTGTCCAGCTACCTTACTAAACTGTTTTGCTTTCCGGTGTTCTTTTGTGGCAATTTTTTGGAGATATTCCAAGTATCTGGTCATTTTATCTTCAAAAAATGACAAGTTTTTTTTTTATCTGTCTTTGAGGTCTCTGATGTTTTTGAGTTTTAAAGGAAAACTGAATTTTTAGTATGATCATGATGAATATTTGAAGGACACGCATCTACTTTTGTATTCCTATGCCAAAGATGGACCTCACTCACTTCAACGTATATCACAGGAACAATGGGTTTTCATTTATATCTAAAATTTTGATGAATATTATTAAAATTGGTACTTACATGTGACCAAATGTATTGAATTCCTTTTGGCTCAAATATTGCAACCTGAATGCATTCTATGATCAAACCAATGACAGCCACAAAGAGACTTACGATGTTCATTACCATTGCAACAGTAAGCTGTAATAAACATACAAAGAAAACACTGGTCATGGACAGCAACACATAGATTTTGATGAAACAATCAGTCTATCAGACAGGCTGGAACATTGGAGTTGAAGTTTTTCTTTCTTTTTGAACTACACTTTCTGGAACCTTAAATCTTACAGTGGTTGATAGCAGGACTCCATCTCAAATTTGTCTAGAAGCCAGTAGGACAAAATTTTTTTTTTCTTGCCCAAAAGGCATTTATTCATTTGAAAAATAATATACAATGCCTACTACGTGCTAAATAATGTTCCGGGGGAAAGAATTAGATCCATTTTCAAGAAGCTTACATACAATCTAATGGGGGAGATGAAATTACAATTTTGTTTAGTGAAATTTAATAAGTGTCACGCTATGAGTACTTTCAAGTTTAGTTCTGTCTGTGTCACTCCTTCTCTGGAAATGTGGCTCTGCTAATTGAAGTCTTTCAGTAGTTCCTAACTCCCGGAGAGACAGTGAACAAACTCTTTTGAATGGCACCGTGGGCCTGGCGTGAACTGTGAAGGAAGGCTGGGCTCCTTGTGTGTATTTTTATATGCATGTGTGAGAGACAGGTACGGAATCAAACCAATGGAGGACGTGTGATTTGATGTTAGTCATTAAAGGAAAGAACCTCAGTGGACATAGGAATTTTGGGTGGTTCAGCAGGCAGTTCATTGCCTATTTTAAGACCATCCTCACTGGTTTTCATTGGCTTGGTTTAGGTTTTTTTTTTTTTTTTTTTTTAAATAAAGAAGTTCTGCAAACTTCTCCCAGGAAAACCAGAGGAACAGGGATGGGGAACAAAGATGGTGACACAGAGGAAGACTGCACTTTCTGGTTTCTCTGCAGCTTGGAATTGAAGCAATGGGATTATAGCTTCTTGATAAGGTAGGCAACCGAGGGACATCAGTGTAACAGAATACTGGACATTCAGAGATCAGAGAGACCCAGAAATTCTGGGTGTATCAGACAGAGTGTTAGGTCAGGAGTTTAACAAAACACTTAGTACAAAATAAATCAGCCAATCAACATCCCTGCCTCAGTCTGACAAGATGGCAATTTCAGGAAGCTTGCCTGGTCTCAGCCTTATAAACAATTTCCCCTACAACAGGAGCAAGACAGATAAATTCAGGGGAGGACAAGGGTATGCTTGCTAAGAAGGGCCTAATTGCTAAGACAGCTTAAGTAAGACCCTGCTCAAGCAACAGAGACAAGATTCCCAGACCTAGGAAAACAGGATGATTTAGACCGGAGCCCATCCACCATAAACTCTGTAAAACCAGTTTCAACTAGGAACTGTCTGACTGTCAGCCAGGTCAATATGAGCACAAGTTGCTTATAGGTGATAAGAGGCGATTCTTGAGCAGGACCTTCTAACAATCTCCCTCTTACCCCAATAAAAGCTGGGACACAAAGAAGCAAGTTGGTTGCTTCTCTCCTCTCTGAGAGGATCACTCTCTCCCATGAGGTTGCTTTCCCTTCTTCTTATTTCTCTTCTAATCAGCTTTGCTATAGTTTTACTTAATCCCATGCCGGTGCTTGAAATCTTCTTTTGCCAAGACACAAGAGATGAGAACGCACCCGCAAAAGATCTCTGCAACTTGCTTTCCCTCTGAGACTAGTGGCTCACAGGCAGAGAGTCAGAAAACTGAACGGGCAGGTGTGCTTACATTCAGAGATGACCTTGGCAGGTGGGCAGCAGAGTGTGTGAGACTTGCTGTGCCCTCTCCATCCAGAGCAGTTTTCAACCTCCAACCCCCCAAAGAGAATTCTTAGAAGGTCTCTGAGACCCAGACACCCAGCAGAGACAGGCATCTTTCTGGCCCTCAAGGTGTGTTTACCTAATCTCTCCAGAGGAGGTACCACCCACAAAGTTCCAAAGTTTCAATTAGACACCAGCCTCCAGAACTTCCCGTGAACAACCCTGAATCAGCTCTGCCCTGGAGGTGCATTGACACAGGCCATTGCCCCCAAAATCCATTCCTTCCTACCTTGCCCAGGTGAGCAGGGAGCTGAGAGCTGCTAAAACCAGTTTCAGTCCCAGGCCACACCGGCCAGTGGCTTGGTGAGCAACACAAATAGGAGGAAAGGTTCAATAGCCCCCAGTCCTTGCTCTCTCTAAGGGGTGCACCGAGGAGAAATGGAAAGAAGGCCAGTCTGGCTGAGGAGGTGAATGTCCAACCGTGTCCACAGTTTCAACCACCTCAGTGGAGACAAGTCTTCCATTTCTCATTAATAATTTGTTTGTCCCTGTATTTGATGATGGCTTCAGTATATACCTATGTCACCATTTGTTTCTTTTCTAAAATCAGTTTTTCCTTTATTATAATCTTTTTTTTTGCTTTGTTTTGCTTTTTAAGGGGTAGTGACTTTGTTTTTGTTTTGCTTTGCTTATTTGGTGTTTTTACTCCTTTCCTCCTTTCTTCTCCCTCTACTGTCAAATTCTCTTATTCTTTCTTTCTCTTTTTATTTTGTTTCCTTTTAATCCCCTTCTTCCTTCTTTGTGGCCTTCATGTGCCACCTCTCCTCTGCTTTCTCTATCTTCACCTTTTGACTATTTTCATCCTTCTTTTGCCTTCCTACCCCACTTCCTTATCCCTTCATGGTCTATATTTTTAACATCTTTTAAAACTATTCAGCTTAGCCCTTTCGGGAATGGAAGAGGGTGAACCCACAAGATCGCAGTGGTTCTCTGAGAGCGAATTCAAACAGCAGTTTTCCTCTGGCAAACCCAGCCTACGATGCTCACATCTAAACGGCTGGGCTAGGCTCTGGGATAAAGGATCTGGCCATGTGGGCGCAGGGTGGGCCGTGGGACTGATTAGGGCCAGACAGAACGTGGTCACCACTGAGCCTAGAAGGGGCTGGAAATTTCTTCTCCCGGGGCTGGAGGGTGTGGAGGATAGGCTGACGCATCCTGTACACCTCCCGCTAGCACAGGACTGAGGCCCTTGGAAAGAGGGGTGCAACAGAGTGAGCCAAGCAAGGAGTGGGTGGAAATCTGCCTACAGACTCCACCAAAAACATTTGACAGGTTTGGGTCAGAACTCAGAACAAATTGCGTGATATCTGAAACCCCAGAGAGAAAGGAGTCTAATTCAAAAAAACTTCAGCAAGAAAAAAACAAAACAAACAAAAATGGATTGCATCTGCCGCTCAATATTAATGGATATTTTGTGTCTCCCCACACTTTTGTGTCAGTTATATACAATTTTAGAAATTTTGTCAATTAAATGGATCCCCGCTCACTACCTCTTGTCTTCTCCCCCATCTCTATTCCTTCTCTCTTTTGCCCTTCACACCTCATTTTTTACTTCTGTATCTCTTCCCTCCCTCCTTTTCTTTCTTTTTTCCCTTTCCTTTTCTTGTGGGTCTATTAAATATTTCTTTAATCCCTTCTTCTAATTTGATTTAGCATGATACTATTAAACTCAATCTTCTCAGCCTATCCTAAATCAGTTCTCACCCACGTTTATCCTCGGTCAACAGAGTTGTAGACATCAGTAGTAATAACTCATACAGCACATGTTGATATATGATTTTCTCTTACTTTCCCATCATTAGTAGAGGTTACTCTCTTCTGTCCGAGTGGTACTGGTGGTTGAAGTTAACATTTTGATTATGCGGATCGGATGTGTTGAAGCTAAGATATTTCCCCAGCCCGTAGTTTATCATTGAGAGGTAACCAGCCACTAGAGAACTCTCACATAGTAGAGGAAGAGGAATCCATATCAACAGTGTGCAACCCCCCCCCCAAAACCAGAAAACATGAGAAAACAGACCAACAAGGTGCCTCTGAAAAGCTATCGCTCCACCCCAAATAACTGAATCCAAAACATTAATTTGGATGAAGTCTTAGACAAAATTTAAAAAGATGATGGTTAAAATGATCAACGAGCTAAAAGCAAATCTAAGGAATGAATTATGAGAGAAAATACAGGGAGTGAAAGAGCATTTCAAGGGAGAGATTCTAAAAAGAAACAAACAAAAATCTTGAAAGCATAATAAGTCCAATAAAAAAAACCAGGTGAAAAGGGTAACAATAAAATGGAATAAGGGGAACAAAAAACCTCAAGCCTCAAAACCAAGCTATGGGCATAGGGTTTTGAAAACGCAGTCAATGATAAAGAAAATACAAGAACATGAAAACATGATCAAAATATCCAAGAGGTCTAAGACCATGTTAAGAGATCAGAATTAAGAATTATTGGAATCAAAGGGGAATCTGAGATATAAGCTAAGGACATGGAAAACCTTTTCAGTGAAATCATATCAGAAAGTCTTCCAATCCTTAGAAATAAGTAATCATTGAGATACAGGAGGCACCTAGAAGCCAAATGCCCAGAATAGCTAGCAAAATTATGAAAAAAGAGACAAAGCCCTTTCAAAAATCAATCTCATTCTAGGGTAACTGTGGGTGTACCCAGAACTGACCCCTATGGAGTAACATCAGAGCTTAACACAGGGAGGGAAGAAATAGACTTCAATAAAATATTTCAGTCAGTAATTTAAAAAATCAAGCAAACAGCAATAACAAACTCTGGGGTACAAAACTGGTACCAAGACTTCCCACAAGACATTACTTACCATGACAATTTTCAACAAAGAATTATGAGGCAGACAAAGAAACAGGAAGATTTGACTCCTATATCATAAAAAAAAATGTAGGTAGCAGAAACTGCCTGTGAGTGTGACCAAATGTAAAATTTAATTAATAGATGACTTCAAAGTGCTCATAATCAAGATACTCAAGAACGAAAATAAGTCATGATCAAAGAAATAAAGGCAGATCTGAAAAAAAACTATTGCAACAAAGAGAGGATACCAGTAAAGATATAAACTATTAAAAACAAATGGGAATCATGTAGCTAAAACTTACAATAATTTAAGTGAAAAGTTTATTATTAGAGCAGCCAGCATGACTCATTAGAGTTGAATTGGCAGAAAAAAGAGTGACCTTGAAAACAGATGGATAGAAACCATGTGGTCTGAAAAGCATAGATTATGAAAAATGGAGAGAATAAAGAACGAATAAAAATGAACAGAACCTCGGAGAAGTGTGATACCATTAAGCACAGCAATATACGCATATGTGGAGCATCCGAGAAAGAGGAGAAAGAGAAAGGGGCAGAAAGTACATTTAAATGAATAATACCTGAAAATGTCCCCAATTTATGGAAAATCATCAATTCAAACCCCTAGGAATCTTGACAAACTCAAGCAGGAAATACTCAAAGATCTCCACAAGTAGACATGTTATAGTCAAAGGCTGAAAGCCAACAAGGAGAAATTCTTAAAAGCAAGGAGAAACAATGACCAGATACAAGGGAAGACCAATAAGATTAACTGCTGACTTCTCATCAAAAATATTTGAATCAAGAAGGCAGTGGGATAACATATTTAAAGTGCTCAAGGAAGAAAAAAAAAAAAATGCCAACCGAGAGTCCTATTTCCAGCAAAGCTGTCTTCCAAAAATTAAGGCAAAGTTAAGACATTTCCAAAATCTGAAAGAATTTGTTGCCACCATTCTTGCTTTGAAAGAAGTATTAAAGGAAATTGTTCCGACCAAAAGTCAGTGACCAGAGATGGGAACTTGAATTTAGGTGGAAAACAAAAAGAATTTTAAAAAGTAGACTGACTATACATTGATGAAAGACAGTGTAAATGCATATTTATTCTCCTTCTTCTACAAACTTATTTAAAAAACAATTGTATGAAACAGTTTGTACGTATTATATTGTTGGACCTATAACATGTGGAGATCAATATATATGTCAATAACAGTGAAAAGTAGTGGGAAAAATTTATTTCAAGTTAAGGAAATGATTCCAAATCCTACATTGAACAAGTAGAGAGAGAACCAGAATTAAAAATTAAGAAATAAATGGGAAATAACAACTGTAAGTATGCGCACGCTCCCTTTTCTTCTCTTTCCTTCTTTAAAAGACTTTTACTTCCTAGAGCAACACCTAAGGGTATTGCTAAAAATATGGGCAAAAATCATGAAAAATGTTACATGAGAAGATGTTCACTTAATGGAAAGTAAATCAGTGAAGGAGGCAGAGAGGAACAAAGACAGAAAACACGGAGGATAAAATAGAATGTGGGTGTACATCTACGAACCTCAGCATGACATTAAATGGGAAGAGGTGAAAGAATCTACTCCGATCCAAGGCAGAGACTGTCAGACTGGACAAAGGAAAAGAAATCAGATTAGATGCTGTTTATAGGAATCAATTTAAGTTTGAAGACACAAGTAGAATGAAAGTACAGTCATATGCCCCATACCAACACTTGGATCAATGATGAACCACACATATACAAAAGTGGTCCCATAAGATTGTGATGGAGTCAACGCGTTCCCACTGCCCGGTGTCATTGTAGCTGGTGTAAGGCAGCACTTACTTATGTTGTTTTTGATGTAAATGACCCTATTGAATTTATAGTTCGTATGACTCACACAATGATGTACAGCGCATATTATTTGATAATGATAGTAACTGACGCTTACTGGGTTCTGTGCTTACTGTACTATAACTTTAATCATTACACTTTCTGCTTACATAAAAAAATAACTGTAAAGCAGTTTCAGGCGGGCCCTCCTGGAGGTATTCCCAAAGAAGGCGTTGGTATCATAAGGATGACTGCCCCCTCTGGGTTATTGTCCCTGGGATAAGATTCCAAGGTAGAAGAAAATGATGTTGACCCATGACCCCCAAAGCTGTGTTGAGCATAGGATCCTGCGTGTGCTTGTACCTTAGTTTTAAATAAAAATGTCTGAATTAAATAAAAAAGTTTTTAAACAACAAAAGCTTATCGAATAAGGATATGAAGAGAATATTTTTTGTACAGTTGTACAATGTTTTTGTGTTTTCAGCTAAGTGTGTTGTTGCTAGTTAAATAAAAGTTTTTGATTAAGGCAAAGGTTACAACAAGCGAAGGTTAAGGTTTCATTGTTGAAGGAAGAAAAATTATTGTCATAAACTCGGGGTAGCTTAAGTGTGCAGCGTTTGGGAAGTCTAGAGCAGTCCGTGGTCGTGTTTGAAGTCCTCACTGATCACCCAGAGCCACTTTCTTTCCTGTGAACTCCAGTCATGGTAAGCACTTTGCAGGTGTATCTCGTTATACCTTCAATACCATGTTCTTACGTAACTTTTCTGTGTTTAAATATGTTTAGGTAGAGACTGGATATCATGCAGAGAACAAGCATGAGAATTCCTGAGTGGCTCAGTTAATATCACACAATGTAGACCTTGAAACCAAAGAAGGGCATTTTATAACTGTGAAAGGGTCAACCCATTAAAAACATGACAATACTAAGCACTTATGCGGTGATCCTAATCACTGGGACTGGTGAGAGTGGGGAGGGGCGTTCTAAGAGACAGGGGGACTGTCCCTTTTTGGATGTGTTGTAACCACCTCCAGTTTAAATTCTAATGCTATTCTCTAGACCTGAGTTTGCTGAAGGCATCTCTCCTTTCAAACACTATTTTTTTCTTATCCCTGTCCTGAACTAAACACTTCTTCAAACTTCCCCAATACTTTTTCTCCCTTCCCACTGCTTTGACTCTGAGGTCAGAGTATTCCTTGGTTACACATCACCCTTTGGGTAGCTTGAAATGATTGATTCTATGGAAACTCTCACATCTGTCTCCTTATTGATCACATTTACGCTCTATTCCCATACCCACTCCCACACAAAGATGCACTGGAGTGCATCCTTATAAAAATGGAATGAGTTCTTTTTTCCCCATTAAATCACTTGGAAAAGTTTATTTTAGGGCTGGGGATGTGGCTCAAGTGGTAGCGCGCTTGCCTGGCATGCGTGCGGCCCAGGTTCGATCCTCAGCGCCACATACAAACAAAGATGTTGTGTCCGCCAAAAACTAAAAAATAAATATTAAAAAATTCTCTCTCTCTCTCTCTCTCTAAAAAAGCTTATTTTACCCCAAAAGTTGGCCCAGGAGCAAAATCTCTCTTGTTTGTGCCAAGCAACATTTTGATCTTTGGAGCTGCTCCAAACGTTCTGACATACCTTATTTGTTGTAGGATTGCTCTGAATTACACTGCATGATCCAGAAAAGAGGAACTAGAGATAGAAACAAGCATTTATAAGTACCCATGACTTAATGACGATCCCCATAAGAAGTTCTTTTGCTAATGCAAATGGCATTCCTGTTATCTATAAAATATCAACGACCTTTCTGAGAAAAAGTGGCTTTAACAGGAAAAAATCCAGGAGTGCATAACTACTGAGCCACATTCCCAGCCTGTTTATTTTATTTTATTTTTTTAATTTTGAGACAAGGTCTTACTAGGTTGTTCGAGGTCTTGCTAGGTGGCTCAGGGTCTTGCTAAGTTGCTGAGACTGATTTTGAACTTGCAATCCTCCTGCCTCAGCCTTCTGAGCTGCTGGGATTATAGGTGTGTGCTACTGTGCCCAGTCAGATAATGATTATTTGTTGCTAATTTCTGCCATAAGCCCCTTTTCCGGGTGGTGGGGCTTAGGATCCTTTCTAGAAGAATTTCAATAAGTGATGCATTGTATTGTTTCAGCTTAAATAAGTTCTCTTTATTATATCCCCTTCCAGAAGGTTGTCAGTGTTGGTAAAAGCCTTCCTTTTGAGAACTGTAGCTATGGGGAAGCCTCTGAGAAACAGTGTTTCTCAGTACAGCCGTGATTCCCAGGCCCCTTTCTGAGTGAATCGACTGTGCTGCACATCTCAGAGGTCTTTTCACCAAGAAGAGGGATTGGGTGACACTCAAGTCTTGTCCCCCTTAGAGCCCTGGCTTTGGTTGAGGAGTGGGTGAGGATTTATTGAAAACCTTTTTCCTGTATGGAGAAATCTGATTTAAGGCTAATTTTCTATTTCTGTTCAGTTGGAAACTCATTACAATAGGAATGTCAGCTGTGTTTCTGGGGCTTAGTGCTTCTGCATAAAATGACCTTGGAGTGATAAATTGATTGTGAATCCAATGCACTTGTGAACTAACAGTCGCTTGTTGGAAGTCATGGCTTCCGGTTTCCTTGACAATAAAGACAGGTAAGGGACATGTCTCGGGTGGATAACTTGACAACTACACCCATAGAAATAATGATATCCTTAACATGTCCACTTTAGGAACCTCTGTTTAATGTCTCCCAATTCCTCTAAGGCCCCCAGGTTTCTTCTTTTCCCTTTCCTTATATAGTTTCCCTAAAAAATTGTTTCTCTACTACCCCAGACATTAAGCTCAGGACTTTGGATTGTCACTCTGCAAAAGAAAAGCTTATAGTTATCCAAAGAGCCACTCTTTATCATTAATCTCCAGGATTACTTGCTCTGTATCTTTACTGAATGTACATCCCGCCCTTTCAAGGAATTTATCAAAACGTGCATCAAACATAAAAGAGACCTTTCCAAGTCAGTGTACAAACGAAAATGAACAATTTAATTCAGAGATTGGGTTTTTAGTGTATTGCTTGACCTCTGAGGAATTGACTTGATTCAGTAGAAAAAAATAAATAGAAATCAATAATGCCATGGTTTACTCACAAATACTCCTGATGCGAATGAATAAATTGTTAACATAAGCATAGAGACAGGACCAGTACTGTGTTCCTGTTCTTCCAAAAAAAACAAAGAGATCCAGAGAATTCCCAGCGCCGAGTGAATGAACCCAATAATTATTTGTGAAGCCTGTGGAAAGAGAGAGCTAAAATGATTATCCAACCCTAATCTATCACAGGTGATTACAGCTTGGGTGACTGAGAAGTTTATTCAATTGCACCCTGGTGTTTCTGAAGCAGTGGATAGGGAGATGGCAGCCATTGTTGGGAGGTGGGGCCCTCTCATTTATTTGGACAGGAAGTATTTGCTTTTTTTCCATAACAGCCTGCAAGGATGATTCAGATCTAGTTTTCTGGTTGGTTCTAGTTAAATAAAAAGTGGAAGCCTCTTTGTCTGTTTTTTCAGGAGGACACATAATTAAAGGGAGAGATGTTACCCTGAGGGTCTCCAAGGCTCTTTCTCGATACCTCTTTCCCTCTATGGTTGGTTCTCTGAAGCTACCTCTAGCCCGAAGATATACCAACATCCCCAAATAGGAACATTTGACCTTGTCTCTTCCTCCCTTCTCTGGGACTTGAACTTCTTTTTTTTTTTTTTTTTTTTTGCTGTATCCGTGTTTACACCCAGTGTTGAGCTGTGTCACCTGTCTGGACCACAGTTTTAGGCCTTATTGAAAAATGCTCCAAGGATCTCTAGTGATCCGTGATTTTATACAGCTCTCATGAGAAGGGTTTTCCAGGGACTGTGCTTAGAGTTGGGCCTTGTTCTTCAGTTGAAGTCGAGTTGCATGTAACATACCTCCAGCAACCGCTGAAGGAGTGGGAATTTTATGCTATTTTTTTTTTCTATTTTAGATCTATTTGGATAATTTTAAGTGGATTTCAGTGATTTAAATCTGTTTACCTCTGACTTCAAATTCAAAGGGGCATATAGGTTTCTGTTTTGGTGTTGAGATTATGGGAAAGGATATTAGAATTAGGGTTCTGCAGAGAACCCTGTTAGTTCCAGCCCCTACAGGAGATGGATACAGTAATTTCATTCTCCAAAGGCCATTCCGTCATTGCATTAAACCAGATGTGTCAGCATGGTGGGGAACCTGGTGAGACCAGTGAATGCTGCCTGTGACTTGGCGTGAAGTGATCGGAAACAATGCCATGTGGAATACGGTGGAAATGGAATCTCACTGCTGGGAACTTCGACAGAAATTCCTGGAAGGAGAGTCCACACCCAGTGTTAAGTGACCATTCTAATACAAACAAATCACTGCCCCATCCATGATGGAAATGGTTCCCTGGGATCAACCTCCCACCAAGATGGCTGGCTCATCTCCCTGAGGGAATGGGGCTATATCTGGAACTCAGCATGGCTCTCGGCTACTGGCAGATGTGATACTCAGTAGTGACTGGTTAGTATAAGACCATATTGCTCAACTCTCACACAACTTCAATTCCTCATGCCCCCCCTTTTAATAAGTCCATTGTGCAGTAAAAGAGGGTGATATCCACAGAATCAGTCATACTGTCCATTCAATTATTAAAATCCTCCTGTCCTCAGGTTGCCCTTTGGTGGGTATTATTAACATGAGACACAAATATCTTCTCTTTACCCTGGTATTTCTGAAGCTGTGTTGAAAGAATTATGAGTCAGGGAGGAACCAAAGTGGATAAAGAAATGGCAGCCACTGTTGGAGTTGAGATGTATTCATACACCTCTTTACCAGACTGCCTTGTGACCAGTTTTCCAATCATGTTCTGTCCAAGTCCCAGAAAGTCCAGCCAAACCATTGATTTCTCCTTCTAAGCCAAATAAACAACCACAGGCCTTGCTTGAAATTCTGCCCACTGGTAAGATTTTCGTTCATCTCTGCCCTTCCGGGATGTCCCAGAAAAGGGCTGCAGTGCTGTAGCTGTCCACTATAGGGTAGTGCCTTGATATCAAGCAGAACCCTCTGTAAATCAGGCCTGAACTGTTTCTTCCTCTGACAGTTGATCAAAGGGAATTCCCTCTGATGCTGTAAATACAGGCTGGGAGAGAGAACACGGTTTAGTAGGAGTGAGAACCACGGGCATTTGGGCAGCTGTTTTGTGTAACTTGCTTGCTCAGGTCTGACCATGAATATGCCACGTCCACTTGATGATAGAGTACTTCTGGGCATGTCCAACTCTAGAGCTCGGTGAGCCAGCTGAATGCCAAGTCCATGGTGGATTCACATGGTAACGTTGGGGCCTATGTTTAAATATTCAGTCTGTACCAATGCCCATTAACAGGCTGAGAATTGTTTCTCAAAAAAAGGAAGTAGTTAACCACAGAAGATGGGCAGACTTTGCTCCATAATCCTATAATTAACCTATAGAAGTCTGCCAGAGGCTTCCAAGAGTATCCCTAGCTGTTACCAGCACTTCAAACCTTACTGAAGCTGCTGGATCAAACTGCCTGAGGGCAGAGTGGCTTTCCCAGCAGTCTAGATTTACTGCAGAATCTTCTCATGTTCTTTTTTTAAAAAAATAAATCAGTGTATTATATATTATATTAGGGTACCTTTTGATGTAATCATACAAGCAGGGCTCTGTCCTTCCCTTTTCTTACCCCCTTCCTCCCTCCTGCTGTTCACCCTCCTCTACTCTGTTGTTTTTCTTTTTTATTTACAGTTTTTTAATTAGTGCTTTATAGATATACATAAAAATGAAATTCACTGTGGTTTCTGACCCCACTCAAAACTAGAAGCTTGTTGGGTTACTTTGTAAATGGCCTGGAACAACATGCCCAAGTGAGGAACATGTTGTCTCTAAAATTCAAAGAGGTCCCCTGGATGTGATGCCTCTTTTTTTTTTTGATTATGAGAGAGGCCAGATGCAACTTTATCTTAGAAGGGTTAGATTGACCTGCTGCATACTCCTGGATCCCTAGAAATCTGAAGTAGAAGGCCCTTGAAGTGTTGATTGAACTTATTTCCTGTGCCCTGGCACATAAAATACCTTATAGTAAGTTTTGAATAGTTGCTACTTCTTACTCACTAGGCCCAGTCGGTATCAAAGAAATGGACCAGTGTGATATCTTGTGGGAGAGAAAGTGATCAAGATCTCTGCAAACTAAATTATGACATCATAGGGCTGGGGAGATGATCTACCCATGACATGACACATGAAGGCAAGATCTTTCCAGATGAAAGCAAACTACTTCTGGTGTTCCTAACTAGTGTTGATGAATGAATGTTAACTGCCCCCTAATTAGTAGCTACAAATTAGGTACAAGCGACATCTTCATTTCCTCAAGCAATTAAACCCTTACTAGTTCAGCAGCTGCGGTGAGAATCGCCGCTTGATGAAGCCTAGAAGAATAATCCACTATTATTCACCATGACCCATATGTCTTCTACGTAGGCCAGGCAGGCCAGCTGAATGTGATGGGAATCACTTTCCCTGAAGCTTTCAAGTCCTTGATGGTGGCATGGGCTGATCTGCAGGAATGCAGCATTGCTTTTGGTTTAGTTATTCTGTATGAAGTCACTTCTAGTAGCTTCTGCGTGGCTTTTCCCACCATCATTGCCCTTACTGCACAGGTCAGGAAAAGAGTGTGGGATTAGACCAGCTGTCAGGAGACCTATCCTAAAGAAGCATTCTGGAATTGAGTAAATCATCATAGGATGGGCTTTGGGAACCATAGGGCCCAGTGCGAGATAGGAGTGAGCTGAAACTTCGCTGACCACTGAACCCCTGCTCTTACTGGTGGACCACAATGTGATGTTCTGGGTCTCCTAAACTTGGTTCAGAGTCAGTCTCCAGTGTTTTCTGAAAAGTATAATTATTTCCTTTTTCCTAATGCATGGTAATTTTGGGGAAATTGTGGGGAAGACTTAGAGAAAGATTGATGGTGTCTACATTTTTGGCAGTATATGAGAGTCCCTCCTCAAAGGGACTCAGTCTCCCTTCATTTAAGGTTTTCTAGATCTGTAAATAGTTGATCCTGGGAATTGCATGAGAAGCCCTAGTTCTGTTTGTATGATTCATGTTAGACTACTTGACCTAGGACTTTTCTGCTTATCCAGATCAAATAAGAACTTAGAAACATTTCTATATTTCAATTCTAGAACTACTATGATTAATTATCCAACCTCATAGACCTTTGCATGTTAGACTATCCCGATTACTGTGCTGACTCCTTTTCTGCTTTGCCCAATCTGCAGTTGAGTGTGACAGCTGACTCCTGTCATCTCCTTGCCACCCCAGGAATCCAATTACTCCCATTTAGGTTTCTCAGTTATGTGTCCACAGGTCCTCATATAAAATGTGCCCTATTAAAAGCAGGGATCATAGAGCTCTTAAAGAATTCTGGAGCTCCTCCTGCCACCATTTACTTCTTACAGTTGTGCCAACAGGTATTTCTTTGGGATCCTTCAAGGATAGGTGACTAGGTCTTAAATTAAAAATCCACTCCAACATTTAAATCTCCCTAAGCCTTTCAACTCTTCTCTATAGTTAACTAAGGCAGGTATTGCATTTCTAGCTCATTGATCATTTTGATCCATGTTTTAGCCAACCAACCAAAACCAACCAAACAAAAAAACCCGTGAGAGCCCTTTCTAACTCCTTAGCTACCATATTAAATGCATATGCCTGGTGGGCCCAGAGCAATAAATTCATCCTGACTCAAATTTATTCTTTCAACTATCATCCTACACCCTCAATATCCAAACATACCCCACAATATCCCCTAAACTTCCGTTTAAACTAGAAAATCCAATCCAAGTAGTTTTTTCCTAGTATACTGCCTCATGGGTTGCACTATGTATCTCTCTTTCAGAGGCCTGCTGGGACTTCTGGGTGGTATAAAAGCAAAGGATGATAGGATTTGCATGAGGAGAATCTGTATTTTCCTGCAAGACAACTGCTTCAGCGCAGCCCTGACACTGTCCTCAAGCAACGCAGGGCCAGGCCTTAGAGGGAGTGGAAAGACTGCTTCTCCCGGAAAAGAAAGCTCATTAGAATTTAGGGACTCAATGTCCCCAGATTCAAAGTCTTCTCACATATCCCTCTTGCAAGTCTCATTGATTAGGCAAGAATGGGTCTTGTGGCATACGTATGGATAATCAATGCCCTCACTTTAACAGAGGATACCCTCTGAGGCTGAGAATTCAATTTGCATTGTAAGTCATTCTCTTTCCAGATGAGATTCTGAGTTTGTGTTTCAGCAGTCTCAGTCCTGGGTCTATAGGAGTTCTGGGTCTTTCTCAGGTCGATCTAGAAGTTCTCATATCACATGTTCAGAAATTGAGCTGGGAATTCAAATCCCCGAGCTCATCCTTTTATTCTCCTACTTTGTTTAGTGCATTAGAAGAGACCAGCCAATCTCAGTTCACCCATTAGGTTTGATAAAAATGTTAACAAGCATAATGTATGCGATCCCTCAGATCTTTCCTTCTTGCAAATGTTTTGACTAGGAGTGTCTAATGGTGATGTTTTGTGGAACTGTATTGACAGATCACACCAAGAACTATCAATGCTCTGTTTACTAGTGGAAATAAAGTCAATAGCGTTTTACTTTATTTCATTTAATTAACTAATTGATTGATTAGTTATCTTTTTGAGATGGAGGGTGTCTTGCTATGTTGCCCAGGCTGGGCTCAAACTCACCATCCTCCCAGCCTTAGCTTTCATTAGCATTTTAAATTCTAATCAATAGTCAATTCCAGAAACTCCAGAACCAGGTCATGAAACTCATGATGAAAATTCTTTTCCTTCTAGAACTGCTCTTGGTACCAGAATTCATTTTATTCAGTGTTCTTGAGAGAAACAGAGCCAAAAGGAGGAATATGTATATATGTCATGTGTGTGTGTATGTGTATGTGTGTGTGTGTGTGTGTGTATGTATGTATGTATGTATGACTTATTCTAAGGAATTTACTCTTATTATTACAATGACTGGAAAACCTAAAATTTGCAGTGTGGGTTGGCAGACTGGAGACCCAAGAGAGAGCCAATGGCCAATTGTGTAATACCGGTTCAAATGCTGGCGTGCTGGAGATCTAGGATAGCCAATGTTCTCCCTCCAGTCAGAAGGTCAGCATGCTGGAGACCCAGGAGAGTTCATGGTGCTGATGAAATGCAAAGTCAGTCTGCGGGAGAATTCCTCTTGCTCAAGAGGGCCAGAGATACGAGCCTTTCCTTCCATTCAAGCTTTCTGATGTTTGGATGATGGAGAGCCATCTGCTTTACTTAAAGTCCACTGAGTTACATGTAACTCTTATCCACAAACACACTACAGGAATGACCAGAATTATGTCTGGCCCCATATTTGGGCACCTCATGTCAGCCAAGTCTTCACGTAAAGCTAACCATGACAGAAAGCCATGAAGTTGTCATAAGCCTCTCTCTTGAAGATGACACCAACCTTGAGGCAACACGAAGGCATGAATTTATTGGTGACTTCTGCCTTGATTCTGATAGACGCGGAATGGCAGTTAGGGATAGGACTGGATGACTTGCCCATAAATATGATATCCAGTTTCAGCTCTGAGGTTTGGGAATTTTCCTGGCGAAAGCTTTCATATTCATGGCTTCGGTCCAATTCGAATTCAAGTCCCACACACATTGGTGAATACTACAAAAGGGTACACCCGTCCGAGGTCAAGGAGTAGTGAGAGGGAGATCCTGCATGCATTATATGACCCCCTTGAGTTGAATGTAGGGGGAGCATGTGGACAACACTATAACCCAGTGTCTCTAGCTCCTTCTGGCTTGGGGACATCATCTGACTAATGCATTAGTGCTTTGCTTCAAACAGTTTACAAAGGCTGAAAATGAACTTCTCAAATATAAGCAACCTCAGTTGTATTTCTTAGAACCCTGGGTAGATTGGGATAATGTTGAGATATTCAGAAATGGTTTGTGGATCCATAATGTTTCTGATTACCTCTAGTGTGATTGTCCTCACCTCAGAACATTTTTATCAATTTTCCTTTCTTTTGGGGAGTTCTTTGTAGATACAACCAATGTCTGTTTGTATTAGTAAGAAGTGACACGAATAATTCATTAACCCCAGTAGCACTTATTCCTTACCCCCAGTGCTTTGGTCTCCTTTAGTAATGCAAATCTCCTTGGCATGTTAACTATGGTATTGTATAGAAATTACAGGAGATGAATGAACTCTTTTTCTGTAGAGAAACATAGAGAAAAAGTAATACTGATTATTTTTGAGAAAGTCACTTAACTCTTTTTTTCCCTGTAGAAAAACACAGAGAAAAAGTAACACTAATTATTTTTGAGAAAGTCACTTAAAATGGAAGCCTCTGATTTTTCACTATTTCAAAATCATTTCGAAGAAGTTTTACATCAACCCTCTGGTATTGGTCTGTGCTAGACAGCTAATCACTTCCGGGAAAACCAAGAGCTACCTCTTCCGCCACGGCCCTTAAGTGAGACAGAAGATGCTTTTTGATGTAGTGACCTTTAGTTCATTAGTTCCACCTTTTGTTTTTGGAATTACTGGCTGTCCTAAGTCCACAGGGGTCACTCAGGTGTGAGTTTCTGATTGCTATGTTATGTCCCCCCTATTTGGCCACAGCTGATGGCCGAGGGTTGGACATCCAATTTTAATTGTGCCAATAGATATTTCCCTTCCCAGGAAACTGAGCAAACTGCATTTAGCACCAAGACAATAGAGTCTTGGTATACTTGGGGCTTGTTTCTTGAACAAGAAATAGTAGCACTGCCACAGTCTGCTGTGTGGAAAGAAGAGGGGAGAGGCACTCACTGTAAGGAGATGGAGGGAAAGAACTTCCCTAAAAATTCACATGACTTTCATTTCCCAGATTCCAATTGCTTTTTGAGGACTTCGAGACATACCTGCATCTTTAAAATAAATTCCCCGCCCCCTTGCCTTTCTCAATCAGAGGATATTCCTCAAGTGAGAAGTGTGGTAGTGTTCAGAACAAAAGCTGAAACTCTAGGCTGGGCACAAGAGGTCGTGTTTTGCATCTTAAGTTCATAAAGATGCCAGAGGTCATGTCTACTGATGGCTCAGAGATGTGGCTGTGATCAATTACTGTCCCCAGTTACTCTTTCTCCTTTCCTGAGTGGAGGATTCTGTACCTTCACTGATTGCCTTGTGACTTGCCGTGTTCCCCTTTCCACTTCTTGGGAGAACTGGAACTCTACCTTGCTGATGGTGTGACATACTTTGCTGGAAATGCACATGCTACATCTGAGCCAAGGCCTTATAAGGTATTGTACGTTTCTATCAGCTTTCTTGCTCACTGACCTCGGTTGTGAGAAGATCCTAGGATTTTGCTATTCTTTAGTGTGGACCCCAGGAAACACAAAAGAGCAAGCCCGCAGTCTACCTACCACCCTGTGCAAAGCTCTAGTCAGTGGAAAAATCAATGCTGTTTCTTGCATTTCTGAAATTTTGTGGTTGTTACACCAGCAACACTGACTAATACCCTGGTACTTACTAACACTTTGGGCAATGTAGAAAGAGAATGTGGGAGAGAAGACAGCATTGGGGGAGTACTGGGTTGGTGGCTTGTTCTTGTGTTGGATGAGCAGAGGAAGAGAGAACTGGGAAGAAGTCTTATGGAGAAAGTGATCTTCAAATGAGAGAAGGCCAGGATTAAACTGTCTCTGCAAGATGTAACTAAAATAAAAATATTTTGGGCAAAAGACCCTACTGGGATGATAGTTGAGACAAGGGGCTGCAATCTTGCAGCGAATACCGTTCATATTTAAGAGAGGTGGCAAAAACAGTCAAAGAGGAACTCACTTCCCAGCAATATAGCTGCACTCCACCCATTTGAATATGGTCAATAAGGAAGAGAGGTTTTCTAGTCAACGGAATCTTAAACCCTAAGAAACAATATGAACTCTCTAAAAATAATGTCCTTTCTAGCTGGGTTCCCCAAATTCACCCAATGTAAGTAGCTGTTTTGCTTACTATTAAAGCTCATATAACTCTAGGGTCCCTACATGATTCACTGTCTTTTTTTCCAGAAGAAATCAAGAAGGTAGTTGGTGTAGAAAAAAAAATGATGTGCCTAGAAATCCTCTTCTTAAAAGAAAGCAAGACTGCTGTTGGGAATGTTCGGGAAGGTACACAAAAGACAAAGAAACCAGGCTAATGGGGCCTCCGCAGGCTGTGTGGGGACAAGTGCATGGAGTACCGCATACATGGCATACGTTAAGGGCGTCTGAGTGGCAAACCGCTCCCCCATGCTAGGCGTGTGAGTGGCGAATCGCTTACCCCGTAGGCACAGCCCTGGGCGCAAGGCTCCATGTTGCAGTCCCTTCCCTTGCTCCATGGCCTACTCTGAGACTGGTCGCTGCAGGGACAGCTGGCCAGAAATTGTATAGGTGGCTGCCTGTAATCTGCCTAGGTACTGCCTGAGTATATATACCTGGTAACTGCGAAATAAAGTCAGACCTGCTTCCTGCTTGGTCTCCGGAGGCCTTGATCAGTGACTCCGCAGCCACATTCTCCTCTACCCTGTTCTGTGGACCTCCTCGCTGGACGAGAGAGAGCCCATGCAAGGCTGCCTTGCTGCAACTCAGCCAAAAAGAAAAAAGCAAAACTCATAACAGTTTAGAATGGCTTGTTTATGAATGTGCACAAGTTCATTATGCTACACAAAAGAAGTTTGTTAACAGAGGTGACTGTAAGACCTATGACATGTGAACATATTAGCTATCTGTCTCATTTTTCATTGGTTTAAAGTGGTAGGGGGGTGCAAATGTGCATATTCTATCACTGCCTTTAAGTGCTTATCCGTTTTTAAAGCACAAATAGGTATATGGCTATGTAAGCATTGAAATGTAGAAGCATGAGGGGTGGACTAAAAAGTTGTGAGTGGGCTACAGGGTCCCCTAGCAAGTACCTCCAGCATCGAAGAGCTTGTCAGCACTGTCGGCTTCCTACATTTTGCAGGTAGAAGGGGAGGGCAGCCATAATTACCAAATTTCATTTATAAACAATCATTAATTTAATCACTAATTTAAGAATAGGTCTGGCCTGATGCCAAGCGTCCTGCAGAGAAGAACTGCTCACACTGTCTGCCACCACTCACTCGGTCACTGCAAGCCCTACATCTATACATTAGAATGGAGGCTTAGAGGGCATCCTCTTTTCTGATTATTCAAATTAGCCAGTCAGTATATTTTAATGGTGGGATAAAGGGGTTTAAAGGCAATGATCGCCAGGCAAAACTAAAAGCCTTCATTCTTTCTTTTTTGTATTTTATCACTGAAATTCTTTATTTTTCCACAAAGATATTCTCAAATACTGTTCTCAGATTGTGGGCCTATGATATTTTCATTGCTTGGAAGACATCCATAGAATTATATTGCTCTTTTGATATTTGTCTTTTAGCATGCCATTCCCTTGTACATGAATCACTTCTAATTGAAGTTTCTCAGTGATACCCTTTGGACTTTGAAACATGGAAATTTTCTTTTGTGTTTGCATCAAAGTTGAAAAAGTACTGCTCACTCAGTAAATGTGTCTACTAAAAATTTATGGGAGGGCTGGGGATGTGGCTCAAGCAGTAACGCGCTCGCCTAGCATGCGTGGGCGCTGGGTTCAATCCTCAGCGCCACATTAAAAAAATAAAATAAAATAAAGATGTTGTGTCCACTGAAAACTGAAAAATAAATATTAAAAATTTTTTTTTCTCTCTCTCTCTCTCCTCTCTCTCTCTTAAAAAAATTTTACGGGAAAATATTAATCTTACTTTTTTTTAAACTTCTTACCAGATGGGAAGAATATAGAGCATCTTTACATTAATTGTTATTAAAAAGGTTAATTGTCATCAAAATGATTATTGCATTTTAAGTTTCATATATACGTACTTCTTTTGTAATTGCAGATTTAACTAAGAGACACTATTAAGTATGCAACATAAGCTAATTCCCAAAACTGTTCAAATAATGTTTGAATGTCGGGAGCTGCTCTGGAAATACACGCACCAAGCCCTGAGTAAGAAATGCTGAACAATTATTGCACCCCACAATAACTTGGGCTTTACCTCTGCTTGGATAATGAGGTGTGGCTTCAGGAGTAGGTGTTGCCCAGTGGGGTTGAGTTACACTTACCTGTTCCTTTGTAATCTTATTTATAATCATATATAATTTTATAATACATATAATAATAATAACATGTAATTATATATACTTACATTGGTACTCATATATAATCATAAATCCTTTGTCCTTTTTTGGATAGAATGTTCTCAGAAACAGTGTCTCCCAATAAAAGCCAACTCCAGAAGGTGTACCCTCTTTCTCTCTCGTCAGCCTCTTGTGACTTTCTCTTGCCCCCCTTGTGGGAGCCTGAGGCTGGGAGCTGGGGAAAGCCGTCCTAAAACTTATAAAAAGGTATTCCATGTCTGCGTAGTATTTGTGTCACCCCAAATTCACACGAGTGACTTTGGTTCCATTGCTGGACGTGGGCAGCAGATTTGAAAACAGTTATCACTCAGAAAAATTTCAATGTCAACACTGAGCTCACAAAAATCATAATAAAATGATAAGACTCCCAAATCATGAAACTGTTTGTGATCTTATAGGACAAGTTGGAATATTAAGCTTTTAATTCTCACAGTAGTTCAGTACATAAGGGTGAGTGGGATTTACCAAAAACATTGGTTCAATTTTCCACATTGTACCTGCTTATGAATCATAAATGAATATTCATAAGACCTTCATTATTCTAGGAGGGAATAGAAATCCATTTAAGAAGCCTCATCAGTATAGTGGAAGAAAAAACAAAAACAAACAAACAAAAATAACCCTAAGAAGTATTGCTAAAGGGCTGTGGCTATGGCTCAGAGGTAGAGCGCTTGCCTAGCATATGTGAGGCACTGGGTTCGATCCTCAGCACCACATAAAAATAAAATATATTATGTCCCCCTATAACTAAAAAATAAACTTAAAAAAATAGAAGAAGAATTGCATAAAAAGAATAGAAGCAGTCACCCCATCCCTCGAGCTGGCTTTGCTCAGCAGAGAGGGAATTTCCTGGCTCACATACCCACCTCCTAGAGACCAGGGTGTACCACCAGCCTCCTTATCCTCTCAGGACTCTGATGGAATGACCAGCTGCAGTTTCATCCCACTCAGATCTCTGTGGGGACTAGCAAAGCCGAGATGCCTGGAGATGGAATAAAAGGAAGAGGGACAGGCACTGTAAGTGTTAGCCATGTGCTGGGGATCACAGTGACCCACGGACACCGTCTCAGCACAGGACTTCAGCAGACCTCCCTGCTGAGGATCTAAGTAGTCTGCACAGCTGCAGCTGTCACTACTGAGGTCACCCCAGCGTCTGTGACTTTGGACCTCAGAAGTTTGTTCTAGAGAGAAGCTGAGCAGCTCTTGCTGCTGAGGAAACCAACCACTTTTGCATCTCCAGGTGCCTGAGACACTGCCCTTTCCTTTCCTGCTCCCTGGAGCCAATCAGGGCTTCAGGACTGTTACTGCTGTGGCTGCCTGGACCAGGGACCCAGCCAGCAGCATCGACAGTCCCCAGGTACATGGAGTCACCACTCTTTTCTCTCCCTCCTACCTGGAGTGACCTAGGTTGTTCCTGCCATGGTCACCTAGACTCAGGGATGCACCCTAGTGGACTCTGCATTCTCTAGGTGCCTAAGCCAACACCCCATGTCCCCAGAGCCACTCCAAATGTGGCCTGTGCAGGTTCTCTGGAACCCAGTGTAGATACTGCACATGAATATCCTCAGGGTCCTCTGCTGCAGGCTTTGACCCACTGCTCGGAGCCCCTGATCCCTGAGGCCAAGCAATTGCATGCTGCCTACCTTTGCCCCCAGAGCTGGCTTACCTAAGAAGTTGGCCCCAACCTCAATCCTGGTTAACTGCTGTTCCTCAGTGGCATTTAAATCATGCCCATTAACCTGACTGATGTGTTGTTAAGCTTGGATACACTCACTGTTTCCCTCCACGAGCTCCACTTTATCCTTCTTCCCTCAAAGCCAGCCCAAGCCAACCAGATCAACTATCCAACAAAACAGGCAGAAGCTAAAGGCTCAGGGGTAGAAATGGGAGACATTTCCGAGTTGATGTGGGACTTTTGTTGGGGGGCTTGGACTGTTATGAAGCCCTCTGTTGGTCTCCTTCTGATAGCTCATTATTCTTTTCCTTGCCCCTTGGGTCCATTTCCACATTACAGTCATCCTATCACTTAGAAGGCTCCCCACTGTATTCAGAACAGGGTCGAAACAGACAAGAGCCTTTTGAGAGGTGCTCTCCGGCGTCCTTTCTAGTGTCATCAAAACAACACACCAGTCATTTCTGATCAGTTTCAGTTCCACCAATTCATCACATTTTTTTGTACGCTTGGGTCATATTTACATTTTTAACTGTAGTCTCTAAGTATTGTGCAGAACACAATTTTAGAGCTGGGTGAATAAAATGACGATTGCTGAATACATAACATCAACATGCCAAAGTTTCTCTGTTCCTGCAGTCTGCAAACATAACCACACCAGCTTTCAGTAAAGGGTATTTGAGATTAAAGATTCTAATTCTAAGGGCTCATGCCACTCATGCAATTAGCATTAAGAGAGAGAGAGAGAGAGAGAGAGAGAGAGAGCTTAGAAAATGTGTGTTACATGTAGCCACGATTGTATTGTCACCACTGTCCCAAAGAGCAAGCTGGAACTCCAAATAACTTTTAATCAAATTAACATGGTATGTCTGGAATAAAATGACTTAAGATCCTGGCTATGTGACACACACACACACACACACACACACACACACACACACACACACACAGCGCAACAAAGCAAAGCAAAGCAAATCACTTCAGGAACCCTGAAAAAAATCTCCAGGTGAAGAACAGTGATCTCACAAAGTAGTCAACGTCTAGGCTCAGGGGGACAACCTATAGCATCAGAGTGACCGTGGTTTCAAATGCTGAGAACGCTGGTCTGGTCTGTAACCGTGGGCATCTCACCAAGCACCTTTCCCACCGCGTTTACTTACTTAGAAGATTCTCCCAGGTAAAGCCGAGCAGGGCGCTAAGACGCCTGAACCATGCTGCAGTGCGCAGGAGGAGCGGGGATGTCTCAACTCAAGGGTGGTTAGCAGTAAAACATTCCTAGCGACCAGAGAATCCAGGACCCAAGTCCCAGGGGACAGGACCTTAGACCGGGTCTGAGTCCCAGTGACACTCACGTCATGCCCCGACCCCAGGGCCAGAGGGACGTGGTTCCGGAGGCAGCGGCCTCAGTCCCGGGCCTCTCGGATCCAGGAGGGTGCTGTTTCCTCGGTGGTTCCTCTTCATCTGCCTCCCGAGGTTCTAACGCTGCGGTTGTGGCCAAGAGCGCCACCACCAGAACGGATCACGAGGGACCCGCGCGGGCACCCCAGGCGTCACCGGGATGTCGCAGCCCCAGGATTGGCTGTGGGTGTGGGCTGGCAGAGGGGCCGCCCTGTCCTGGGGGGTCAGCTTCGCGCTCTGACCTTGCACCTGCGCACACCCAGGGGAAGAGGCGGGGTGGCCCCCTCACTGACGCAGAGACGCCCCCTTGGAAGGAGCCTCAGTCTGGGAGCTCCCCACTCCAAGCCCCTTCCCCAAGACGTGGTGGCCACCAGGCTCCGCTGAACGTCTTTGGTCCTCGGTTTATTTTATTGTATTTTACCTTGCACGTTTATGCTGTGGAACTTGGAATATCAGCGCTGCTCTTAGGATGATCCTCTAGCATTATCATCAGGTGCTTTAAAACGAACTTCAATTTACTCGGAACAAGTAGAAACAACTGAAGTTCATTTCTCACATTTCCAGAGGCTGGAAGTGCGAGATCAGAGCACGATTGTAGAGGAGCTGCGGTCAGGGACCTCGTCCAGGCTGCAGTCCGCCAGCTTCTCATTGTGTCGTTACCCAGTGGAAAGAGAGCCAGCTGACCTTTTGGCCTCGTAAGGGCACTAATCTCATTCATAAGGGTTCCATCCTCACCACCTAATCCCTCCCCCCTTAAGGACCCACTTCCTAATACCAATTGAGTTAGTCTGCTTCCCATTGCCAATAAGACAAAACCACAGGCCTGGCTGTCATAAGGGAAAGAGGTCTATTTTAGTTCCTGGCTCTGGAGGTGCAAGGTGGATGGGCTGCACCTGGGGATGGATTTCTTGCTGAAAGAGTCCTGAAGAAGACCCACAGGGGGCACAACATCTCTGGGTGTCTCTGATCTCTCTCCCTCTTATAAAGCTACCAGGATTCAATCACAGGGGGGCTCAGTCCTAAGGACTCTACCTAATACTTATCAATTCTCCAAGAACATGCCTCTCAACACCAAAGTCAGGCTAAGTTTCCATCCTCTTAATACCTCACAATATGGGTACGATTTCAACAAGTGAAACCTTGGGGAAACGCTCAGACTAAACCATGACACCATCACACCAGGAGTGCATTTGCACATACACATTTTTTTTGAGGGGGGCACAGATTCCAGATCATAATATGGGGAACACTTGAGATTTGTTCTGTTTGTGACTGGGGAAAACCAAAGGTGTCCACTCTTACTGTTATTATTTATTATTGAATGGGATGATACTGAAAGAATGATAAGTATTGAAAGTTTTGGAAACAGGTAAAGTGACATGGATACAATAATTTATTTCGAAAAGTCAATGGTTTTTGTCAAAAGCTACTAGATATTATTTCATTGAAAAGATTGTGCATTTCTTTAGTTTGTACCTCAGAGCCTCAATCTATCCCTATGAATCTTTTAATGTTATCCATATTTCTTGAAAATTCCATTCATGGTCTCTTGACATGCTTTCTCTGATCAACTTTCTTTTTTCGATACCAGAGATTGAACCTGGGGGTTGGTGTTTAACCCCTGAGCCACATCCCTGGCCTATTTTCTATTTTATTTTGAGACAGGGTCTTACTAAGTAGATTGAGGCCTCGATAAATTGCTGAGGCTGGCTTTGAACTCCCAATCCTTCTGCCTCAGCGTTCTGAGCTGCTGGGATTACAAGCGTGCACCACCACCACAACCGGCCAACTTTATTTTCAAGATCATATACTTTGTTGCTCTTGGAGGTGATGACTCTCTTATAAAAATGTCAATTCTTCCAAAAACAACATTTCATGAAAATTTAAGTCAGGTTTTTTGAGAAACTTGATAAGTTAGCTCTAAAATTGCTAAGAAACAGAAGTTTCTGAGTACTTTTAAACTTAAAAAAAGGAGAATGAAGAAGGGTGAGCTTACTCTGTAAGTCAGTAAGATTTGTATGTGGAAGCTTAACCTGTGATAAAGAGAACAATAAAAATCAGTGGCAGGGGATGGAGCTCTTTTCTGAACAGAGATAAATAAACTTAGATCTCTGTCCATCATCACATACAAGGTGATACTAGGTGGATTGGAGCTTTAATTGTTAAAGATAAAACTCTGAAGTTAATAGAAATATAAGAGAATGTTTTAAAGTACGGAAACAAAGTTTAAAAATATTAACTGTTGATTGAATATGATTATTCATTGAATAATTGAAAATAATTGAATTTGATTACATTAAAAAAGAGGGAAAAACTAGCCAGTGGCTCACAACTATAATCTCAGAAGCTCAGGAGGCTGAGGCAGGAGGATCACAAGTTCAAAGCCAGCCTCAGCATCTTAGGCAAGACCCTGTTTCAAAATAAAATAGAAAAATTCTGGGGATGTGGCTCCATGGTTAAAGCACCCCTGGTCCAATCCTTAGTATAAAAAAGAAAAGAAAAATAAAAAGTTAGCAATCACATGAACATGAAGAGATAATAAAAATTATTGGTAATTATAGAAATTCAAGTAGAAAAACAATGAGATACAATGCTTTACACCTAAAAGTTGGGTACCTCTAACTGGTGAAGGATGTAGGATTGCTCGTGCTTTGCTCAATGTATGTTTTTTTTCCAGCCTTTTCTGGAAGAACTCTGGGACACTATTTAAGTCCATTGAATATGTGTAAATCATTTAATTCACAATTATGTTTATGGAGAATTTCCATAAGAGATGTGTCTGCAAATACTCATTGCAGGGCTGCTCTAGGGGCAGGGCTCTGGAAGCCCCCAGGTGTCCATCACTGAAAGGGCGTTATGTACAGGTGCATTTCATGTTGTACTATGCAACATTTAGAGTTAACAGTTAGGTGTGTTATTGAGAACTTGGATATATTTTAAAAATAGGGTGCTGAGTGACTAAGAGAAGCACATGTGCTTAAGCACAGAAACACATGTGCACATGCATACGATACATTCACAAGATTTAAATATGTGTAAACAGAAGAACGCTGGGCATTAAAAAGCACACACACAAAAGTGGGCACATGCATTAGGTAAGACAAGATGATGGGATAGGAATAGCTCTTGTCCCCCTATAGAGACATAAATTCTGGCAAGGACCCATGGTTGAGAACCCTCTCTGGAACCCCCAGAGTCCAGCTGAGATTTAAACAACCAGTGAAGCGAAAAACCAGAGAGTGGCTGCATTGGAAAGTTGAGCAGATCATTTGACTCTACCTATGACTTCCCTACCCCAAGGCAGGGTCCCCTCTGGCTGGTGATTTCTTCCACAGAGGAAAGTGAGAAGAAAGTGGACCTTAGTTCTCTTAGCTTTGTGAGATGCTGCCCAGGAGGGCCACTTCTGTTTTTTCCACACCCAGAACACTGAGAGGATGGCAGGGCTGAGTTGTTTGGGGACAGGTAGGAGCAGGAAAAAGGTGGATGCACAGAACTGGCCTGTGGTTCTCCAGAGCTGGTGCTGCTAACCAGCTTGCAGACTCCACCTAGAGGCCTGCCTATGAAACTTGCAGGCTGCCTCACCTGAGCATTCCTCAAACTGCTGATGCATACCCCAGGCACCCCAGAGACCTCACCGTGGATGGCGCCCCACATGTCTCCAAGCACAGCCCAGAGTGAGCTCCTGCAGACAGCACTTGGATCCTAATAGCAGGTGTGGATCTTAATTGGCTTGACTCTACTTTGGAGGAAGGTGTATAACCTTCAACATCTGAGGACATTGACTTGGGAAAAATAAATGGGAGACTTGCAATATGAGGCTTGAATCTGTGGGATTAAGAGAAGGCAAATAATTCTAAAACTTGCCTCCAAGAAGGAACAAGAAAAATAGAGCGTGACATTCATAGAAAATGTGTGGGCTCGCTGAGAAGGTCTTTCTCTGCTGAAGTCAGTCAGTAAAAACTAGAGGAAGTCAGAGCTTCTTTGGATGGGAAGGCAGAATGACATTCTTCAAGGAAAAACTCCAAAGGAACAAACTACACCTCCAGTGGCTGACCCCAAAGGAATGGGCATCTATGAATTGCCTGATTAAGAATTAAAAATAATCACCTTAAAGAATATCAGTGACCTTCAGAAGAACAGACAACTCAATGGAACTAGGGAGTTTAAGAAACAAAAAATACTTAGCATGAATTTAATCAAGGAAGTGTGAGAGGTACACTGAACACATGAAATATTGACAAGAGAATTAAAATAGACACAAATAATTAGAAAGATATCCCATGTTCATGAATTGGAAGAATTAATGTTAAAATGTCCATCCTATCCAAAGCAATATATAGGTTCAACATAATCCCTATTAAAAACCCAATGGCATTCTTCAATAAATAGAAAAAACAATCTAAAAATTTTTTTTTTATGAACACACAAAAGACCCTGGGTAGCCAAAGGAATCTCAAGCAAGAAAAAAAAAACAACTGGATTTGTCCTTCCTGAGTTCAAATTCTAATACAAAGGTGCAGTAATAAAATAGTATAGTATTGAAAGAAAAACAGACATATAGATTGGTAGAATCAAAAAGCCCAGAAATAAACCCATATATGATAAACAATTTTCAACAAGGGTGGCAATAATACTCTATGGGGAAAGTCTAGATTCTTTGATAAATGGTATTATTAAAATGAGATATTCTCATTATCTTACACCAAACACAAAAATTCACTAACTTGCTTAATTCAGTGGCACACACTTGTAATTCTAGTGATTCAGGAGGCTGAGGCAGAAGGATCACAAGTTCAAAGCCAGCTTCAGCAACTTATCGAGGTGCTAAGCAATTGAGTGAGACTCTGTCTTGAAATAAAAAAGGGCTGGGGATGTGGCTCAGTAGTTAAAGGCTCTTGGGTTCAATTAAAAAAAAAACTAACTTAAAATGGTCAATAGACTTTAAGACCTAAAACACTAAGACCCCTAGAAGGAAACACAAAGAGAAACTTTCCTGACATTGGTTTTGGCAATGGTGTTTTGTATATGACCCCTAAAGCATAGGCTACAAAATTAAAAATCACCAACTGGGACTTCATCAAACTGAAAAGCTTCTGCCCAGCAGAGGAAACAATCAACAAAATGGAAAGACAAACCCACAGAATTGGAGAAAATATTTTCAAACATACATCTGATAAAGGATTAGTACCTAAAATATAGAAGGAGCTTGTACAACCGAATAGAAAAAAAAAAAAACAAAAATCAACAAAAGAAAAAAAAATAAAAATAGACAAAAGATATGAACAGATATTTCTTAAATGAAGTCATACAAACGGTCAACAGGTATATGAAAATACAGTCAACATCACTAATTGGCAGGGGGATTGAAATCAAAATCACAATGAAATATCACCTCACACCTGTTAGGATGGCTGTCATTTACCAAGTCAACAAATATTGGTAAGGATGTAGAGAAAATGGTAAGGATGGAGAGAAGAGTGAACCCTTGTATGCTCTTATTGGGAATATAAATGATTACTGCCATTAAGGAAAACAATATGGAAGTTCCTCAAAAAGTAGAAATATAATGCTATGTGATTTAGTGATCTCATTTCTAGGCATATATCTAAAGGAATGGGATTTAGGTCTTGAAGACATACTAACACTGCCCATACTAATGTTCACTGAAGCATTATTCCTAATAGGCAGATATAGAAACAGACTAAATGTCCCAATGGAAAAATGGATAAAGAAATTGTGAGGTGTATGTATATGTCTTTTCTAAAATAGTAAAAGAAAAAAATCCTGTCATTTGTAGAATATGGTTGGATCTGGAGGATATTATGTTAAGTGAAAGAAGGCAGACAGAAACACTGTATGATCTTACTATGGAGAACTCAGAATCTTCAGACTCGGAGAATCAGAGAGCAGAGTGATGTTGTCATGGGCTGGCAGGGTGGGGAAATGGTTGGGTACTGGTTTGGTACCAAATGGTTTGGTAAAGTGCACAAAGTTTTAGTTATGCACAATAAGCAAGTTCTGGGGAGATCTATTCTACAGCCAGTGCCTATAGCTAACAATACTGTATTATATACTTAAAATTACCAAGAGGGTGGATCTTATGTCAAATATTATTGCCAAAACAAAAAATGGTAATAAGGATGTGGGAGGAAACTTGGGGAGGTGATGGATGTGTTTATGGCCTTGAGGGCAAAGTTAGCTTCATGGGTGTCTACTTTCCCCCATACTCATTGAGATGTATGCATTTAAATATATATAACTTTTTGTATGTCAATCATGGAAAGTGGTTAGAAATGTACATTGAACACAAGGGAGTGATTCTTTATCAGGGGAGATAATTAAGAATGGAGTTTACAGATAAAAGCAAACATTTCAAAAAAATTGGGTTAGGGATTTAACAAATCTAACGAGATAATATCAATGAACTGCTTCATTAAATTCACAGTTTAAAGAAGCCATCAACTGGACCTTCTAGAAGACTAAAGCTTCACAGTTGTTAAGAGAAGGTTTGGTGTTAATCTGGTAAGCATTAATTTGTGCAGTGTCAATCAACTTGATAGGAATGAGGATAATTGAAATCTGCCTTTTCCCTAATGGTAAGTTATGCCAATTTCAAGTGTTCATCAAGCAGAAGTTACTCAAAACTGGTGTATTTATAGCACACTATGTTTAGCACTAGTAGAGACACAGAGGAGATTACCCAGGCAGAGATGCTTATATTTTATGCTAATTTTACTCTTATTAATGAGATATTGATTTCCCTGAATCGGCATTTGAAATACAACTCTTATGGTTCCTGCCTGCCCCTCTCTTGGTTATTTTTATGTCTACTTTAGGGAAACTGTTCCCCATTTCTGGAAGTTTTCTTGGGTGAAATAATTCCTTAACTTGGAACAACCAGATCCAAAGTAGGAGAACTTCGCGTTCAGCATTCCCCATACAGAAAATATAACCAAAGTCAGCCATTCTGATTTTTATTCATAGAATGGAGAAAAAGGAACATTTTGGACAGAGTTCACCCACCAACACATGTCTTCTAGAAAGTATCTTGGGCAGAACAGCGGTGCTCTTTCTTCATTCACTAGTTACACATTTTCATCCTGGACCGAGGTCATGATGATTCTTGTTCTTTAGTAATCCTCATGCAAAGGATTCCCTGTGCTGTGAACCTGAGGTGATTCAAGTATTAGCAAGCTGATCATTTACAGCTTCTGGAAAGTGGTCTTTTCAGTGATCTATATCATTGAATTAGTGGTCTACGTCATTGAATTATTCTACTAATTAACTTCCAGATTCTTCCCAATCATCTACAGATTCTGACCTGGTGAGTTGATTCAGAGACATGGCCAGTGGAATCTGGAGAAAGGACGCAATTGTGTTAAAATAAACATGACTTTTACCAGCATATTCTCTTCCCTACTCTTTTTCCACTTATTCTTTGTTAACAATATTAAAGTGGTTATTTTGGAAGGGATGTTAATGGGAACATTCTCTGCCAATTGAAGACATCCCTATCCTCTGACCAGGAAAGAATACATTGTGGGTTTAATCCCTGGTTATGTATGTGTGTGTGTGTGTGTGTGTGTGTGTGTGTGTGTGTGTATAAACATACACACAAGTAACAACCAAGTCTTATAACCATTAATAATCCAGAGTAAACATAATCTGAGTGTTTAATTTTCAAGTCAAAGTAACAGAACTAAAACTGTTAAGACTGCAATGTATGCTTGTTACTGTGTGATGAAGGAGTTAAATGGAAATTAGTTCATGACTTCACAATAGCTAAATAAGGCTGTGTTTTGTCCAGTGCCAGGTGTACACTGCACAAAACATAATTGGATGTTTGACAGTTTCTCGGTGCCTTTCTCTTCTGTTTCCCAGCATTCCACCTGTCTTGGCTCTCTTGGTCCTCTAGGGCCAGCTTGCCTTGGGTGTTCCACACTGGACCTCGGATTGCCTTGCATTGCCCTCATTTCTTTACTCAATGTGGAACCTTTATTTTAATTGTCTGTCCTGTCAGATCAGAAGCTGACTCCCTTTCAGTCAGTTTGTGAATGCGACTGAATGCCAACGCTGCCATTAGCCTGTTCTCAGTGGATGGCTGGAATGGAGAAATAAATTATTTGTGAACCCCTGGTTTCACCCGGGGACCAGCTGTGCCTGATAATGGGATCTGCTCCCTCTCACCTCCCAACATGCTTTATTTTCCTCCTACTCCAACGCTACTAGGTAACAGGAATCCTAACTTTACTTGATAATTAGAAGTACAACAAAGTGAACTTATCTCCATAGGATTATCCTTCAAATATAATAAGGTGGGGCCAGAAAACCATGACCTCCTATTATATTTTCTCATGAATATGTGGGTACACACCCTTTTAATCATGAAATTCTACCTGGGGAATTATTTATTGTCTTTTTTTTTAAACCAAGGATTGAACCCAGGAGTGCTTAACCACTGAGTCACATCCCCCCAGCCCTTTAAAAAAATACTTAGAGATAGGGTCTCGCTAAATTGCTTAGGGCCTTGCTAAGTTGCTGAGATTGGCTTTGACTTGCAATCCTCCTTCCTCAGCCCCCTGAGCCACTGGGGTTATAGGTGTGGGGGCCACTGCGCCTGGCATCATCTATATGTAGAAAAATTTTGTCTGGAACTTCCCAGCTCACTTTTAGTGTTTAGGGGCAATAATAACTACAAAAACTTCCTACTGAGATCTTAATCCCTTAGCCTGGGCTCATAAGAGAAGCTGATACTTCCTAATTAATGGAGAAACGATACTCACATTATGCACTGTAGATGTTTCGATAGAATGCTTCATTCAGCCATTTAACCACGATATTTGCCAGGCACATCTCCAAGAGTCCAAATATCCACAGATAGACGGAGAGCATCATCCCACTTCGCTAAACACAAGAAGAAAATCTATATTCCTCAGAGATCTTCACATCTCTACAATTTTAAGCAACATAAGAGTAATATAAAATTGCAGATGACTTAGAAAACAGGAAAACTTATAACACTGGTACCATCACCTTAATAAAATGGTGATGATTCTGCCTGTTTTTAACGATATTAATTGTAATAATATATATGTATTGAGCATTTCCTACTAGATGACGAGGCCTCTGGGCTGAATGTTTTGTATGCATTATTCCATTGAATCGACTCAGCAGCCCCTTGTGCTTGAAAGCGTCTCAGGGTTGAAGGAAACAAGCCTTGGAGAGGTTAGAATAACAAAATCAGGGTCATTGATGTTGAGGTTGCTTAGGACTTGGTTCCAATCCTCTTCTCTTCCTGCACCCTCTTGGGGGCTTTCTACCCTTGCTCTGACAGACTTCCAAGTTTGTGATTCGTGTTTTCTTATATATGTTTTTCTATAATATTGTTCTAGTTTCATTTAGAATCATACCCTAAGAATTATTTTAGATTGCGTGGAATCTTGTGATACTAAATACTTACACGTTTTAAGTGAAAATATAAGAAATCATTTAAGTTCGCTACATATTGATGTTTCATGCAACTCTTTATGTTTTGGATGATTAATACGGATTTCAAGTCACCTGGTTGGTGGTACGCACTGTCAAATTGTTTCGCTTGTGCTTCTCTCCACCTCGGTGTTAGCATTGACATCGGGGAAGGCTGTCAATGGCCTGACTTCATTCTCTGCAAATTGGAACCAACTACAGATTGTACGATGTGAATCTATCATAATTAGTGAGATCCTTATGAGAACCATTCATTGGAACATGACAGAGGACAAGGGTGAGCAGAGAGTAATCTTCTGACAGGTAGCAAAGATCTGACAGATGATGGTATAAAAGAAGTTGTGTGTGGTTTGCTGGGGAACATCAATGATGTTCTAATCAATGGAATACCTTTTGGAAGATCTTAGAGCGGAGGGACAAGCATCTTCCTAACTGTTAGTGATTTTCCTTAATTATCACAATGTTGGAGTTGACTCCATAGATAACTGCTCATGTACCATAATTATTGCCATTAGGAGTATACTCGATACCACTTATTGTAAAACAAAAAGGATCAATTTGGATGAATGTCCCTCGGTTTCATTATTTTTTTTTGAACTCATAATTTAATACTTTTTTGGGTCAATTTCTTAGTTAAGTTTTAATTAATCTTACCAACATTTTTTTTTTTCTGGCAACATGATGAGGAAGTTGTGATCCTTGAATTCAGATTGTTTTTCGAATGTTTATTATTTCCTTAAGGTTGATTTTGGGGACATACTTTTCACCCAAATGGTCTAGTTAAAAATGTTTTCAAACATGATTTATGGTGCAAAATATTGAAATTCTGATTTATGGGCTAGAGGCTGCTGGCCATTTGTCTGACTGGAAAGAGTCAGAAAGTGATCGGTTTCCTGAACACCTGAGTGTCCTTGGGAGAACAGGGCAGAGTGCCTGAGAAGGGCTGCTCTTTCCTGTAGCTCCTGGTGGTTGGGGACAATGTAGGAAAGTTTTCAGCCAGAAGCCTCCTGGGAGGAAAGGAAATGAGACCCTGGGATTTGTAAATTGATCTGCCATTGGGAAAGGGTTGTGGATGTGTTTAGCTTCAGAGCTTGCTGGCATCCACATGCAAAGTCCTTGGACTGAGGACATTTGGGGTTGAATCTCCTTTGCTCAAATGACAATGCTATCCATGAAGTTCTAGCATGACACATTCCAATATCAGTCATGAGAAAAGACTTTTAGGAACCAAAATCAGAACACTCACGCTGGAGGATTTTCCATACCCTACAAAGTGGCTGGTATTACACCATCGTTTATCCACGTTGCATATAGAGACTCAGTTCTTACAACACCTCCCTGTGGGCTTTAAGCAAGAAAAGGCATCTTGCCTCAAAACATTCTATTTAAGTTTTTTTTTTTTTTTGTGTGTGTGTGTGTCTTTACTAGCATTTTCCACTTGTCTCAATAACCTAGAAATCAGTTATGTTATTTTACGGGATATTTTTAATTTGATTTCTTGAATAAGTTTTTGTGGACCCAGGGTAAGAGATTTGGAGACCTATGTGTGGTCGTGCCAAATGTTTTCAACACCAAAATCATCTCTGCTCATTTACAAACTGATTCAGAGTGCAACTCTTTGCAAAAAGAATCGTTGTAAATCTTTGTACCTACCTGTGGCCATTGAATCTCTACATGTTTCACTAAAAATGATGTGATTTCAATTATAATTAGAAATAAACCAATCAGAGCAACGCCCAAACTGCCGATGGTCCATCTTAGGGTGCGTTTCATCTGGAATAGAGAGAGTAGAGATCACATGTTGAACAAATAAATTGGCATGAAATTATCAGTTTGCATTCAAATATTTTTTTGACCTTTCAAAATGATTGTATGTTTTTTTTTTTTTTGTTGTTGTTCTTAGTTCTGTTAATGTGGTATAACTCATTCGTTGATTTGTGAATGTTGAGTCAGCCTTACATTTCAGAGATAAATCTAACTTGATTGTGGTAAATAATCCTTTGAATGTGTTGTTGAAAATTGTCTTGTTAGACTTTGTTGAATTTATTTGCATCCGGCAGGGGTTTTGGTCTGTAACTTTCTTTCCTTTTAGTGCCCTTGTATGGGTTTCATATTGGTGTGATGCTGGCCTTGTAAAGACAGTTTATTGATTCGATATCATCATTCATACACCAGCCTGTGTGGGACCCAGGCTCACAGTAGGCCTGGGTCCACCCCACCACCAGCAGGCACCCGCCTGAGCCCAGCCTCCAGCACAGGACTGCCTCTTCTGACCAGCAGACTACCACAGGAGCTCAGGCCCAGCCCATATCTGTCCACACCAACTTGGGCAGGACCCAGGTCCAGG